CCCATCCATCCCAAGCCCATCCCAACCCCATCCCATCCATCCCAACCCATCCCAACCCCATCCCAACCCCATTAATCCATCCCATCCCCATTCACCCATCCATCCCAAGCCCATCCCAACCCCATTTATCCATCCCAACCCCATCCCATCCATCCCAACCCATCCCAACCCCATCCCATCCCACCCATCCCATCCCACCCCCATCCCATCCCATCCCATCCCATCCCATCCCATCCCATCCCATCCCATCCCATCCCCATCCCATCCCATCCCCATCCCAACCCCATCCCATCCCATCCCATGCATCCCATCCCATCCCATCCCATCCCAACCCATCTCAACCCCATCCCATCCCATCCCATCCATCCCATCCCCCCCATCCCAGCCCCATTTTGACCCCCCCCCCCCAATCTCTCGCAGCTCAGGGCTTGGTGAACCCCAAAGCAGCCGATGAAGACGCCGTGGGGCTGGAGGAGGACGCTGTGGGGTCAGAGGAGCCCCCGATGCTCCCGCCCCAGAACCGATTGCTGGGATCCAACAGGCGGAAAGCGAAGCGCCCCGACAGAGCCGTCCCTATCGGGGTCGCGCAGACGCCCCACGCCGCCCCGACCCCAAAACCCAACGGGGTGAAGCCGTCCCGGGTTCGGGATCGGCCGTTCGGCTGCCCCGATTGCGGCAAATCCTTCCCGTGGGCTTCGCATTTGGAGCGGCACCGGCGGATCCACACGGGAGAGCGGCCCTACAGCTGCCCCGAATGCGGCGAATCCTACAGCCAAAGCTCCCACCTCCTGCAGCACCGCCGGACCCACAGCAGCGACCGACCCCACAAATGCCAGCAGTGCGGCAAACGTTTCTCCGGCGCCTCCGAATTGGCGGCTCACAGCCGGGGCCACGCGGCCGAAAAACCCCACAAGTGCGGCGACTGCGGGAAGGGTTTCGTTTGGGCTTCTCACCTGGAGAGGCACCGGCGGGTTCACACGGGGGAGAAACCCTACGAGTGCCCCGAATGCGGGGGAGGCTTTCAGCCAGGGTTCGCACCTGGCCAAGCATCGCCGCAGCCACGCGGGCCGCCGGCCGCTCCGCTGCTCCCCCTGCGGCCGCAGCTCCGAGCCGAGCCGGCAGCGCCGCCGCGGCCGCGCGGGGACGAAAGCTCAGCGCTGCGCCGATTGCGGGAAGCCGTTCCGCGCCGCGCCGCCTCTGCTGAGGCACCAGCGGCGTCACCGCAGGGAACGCGGCCACCATCGCTGCGGGGATTGCGGGAAGGGTTTCGCCTGGGCGTCTCACCTGCAGAGGCACCGCAGGGTTCACACGGGCGAGCGGCCGTTCCCCTGCGGGCTGTGCGGGGAGAGCTTCTCGCAGAAAGCCCATCTGCTGCAGCACGGCAAGACGCACCGCCCCGAGCGGCCCTTTAAGTGCGGGGACTGCGGGAAGCGTTTCGAGGACGCGCCGCCCTTCCTGGCGCATCGGCGCGGCCACGCGGCGCTCAAATGCTTCATCTGCGGGGACTGCGGGAAGGGATTCGCCTGGGCGTCCCACCTGGAGAGGCACCGGCGGGGTGCACACCGGGGAGAAGCCCTACGAGTGCCCCGAGTGCGGGGAAGCCTTCAGCCAGGGCTCCCATCTCACCAAGCACCGCCGCAGCCACGGCCCCAAAGTGGCTTTGGTCCTCGTGGAGGAAGGGGGGGAGGAGGGAGGGAGCCTGCGTGCAGCGCCGCTGGGCTGCGGGGCCGAGGAGAGGCTGCGGCCGTGATGGGAGGAGGGGGTGGGGAGGTCAGGAGGAGGAGGAGGAGGAGGTGGGGTGGAGGAAGAGGAGGTGGGGTGATGGAGGAAGAGGTGATGGGGTGGAGGAAGAGGAGGAGGAGGAGAAGGTGGTGGGGTGGAGGAGGAAGAGGTGATGGGGTGATGGAAGGGATGGAGGAGGTGGAGGAGGAGGAGAAGGTGGTGGGGTGGAGGAAGAGGAGGTGGGGGGGTGGAGGAGGAGGTGGGGTGATGGAGGAAGAGGTGATGGGGTGGAGGAAGAGGAGATGGAGGAGGAAGAGGAGGTGAAGGGGTGGAGGAGGAGGAGAAGGTGGGGTGGAGGAGGAAGAGGTGATGGGGTGATGGAGGAAGAGGAGGTGGGGTGATGGAGGAGGAGGTGGTGGGATGATGGAGGAAGAGGTGATGGGGTGGTGGAAGGGGTGGAGGAAGAGGAGGTGGAGGAGGAGGAGGTGAAGGGGTGGAGGAGGAGGAGAAGGTGGGGTGGAGGAGGAAGAGGTGGGGTGGAGGAGGAAGAGGTGATGGGGTGATGGAGGGGATGGAGGAGGTGGAGGAGGAAGAGGTGCTGGGGTGGAGGAAGGGGTGGAGGAGGTGGGGTGATGGAGGGGGTGGTGGTGGAGGAGGAAGTGGGGTGATGGTGGAGGTGGAGTGGAGGAGGAGAAGGTGGTGGTGGGGTGGGGGAGGAGGAGGAGGAGGAGGTGGGGTGGAGGTGGAGGAAGAGGTGATGGGGTGATGGAGGAGGAGGTGGTGGGGTGGAGGAGGAAGGGGTGATGGAGGAGATAGAGGAGGAGGAGAAGGTGGTGGTGGGGGTGGAGGAGGAGGTGGGGTGATGGAGGGGTGGAAGAAGGGGGGGTGGAGGAAGTGGGGTGGAGGTGGAGGAGGAGGAGGGGGTGCTGAGGTAGAGGAGGAGGAGGTGGGGTGATGGAGGAAGAGGTGATGGGGTGGTGGAGGGGGTGGAGGAGGAGGAGGTGGAGGTGGGGGTGGAAGAGAAGATGGAGGTGGGGTGATGGAGGGGGTGGTGGTGGGGTGGAGGAGGAAGAGATGATGGGGTGGTGGAAGGGGTGGAAGAGGAGGAGGTGGAGGTGGAGGAGGTGGGATGGGGGGCAACCAGAGCGCTGCTTTGGGGACATGGAGCCCATCCTGGCTCCGCTCGCAGCTTCCCACGTGGGGATGCTGGTGACACGGGTTGGGATGGAAACCTGGGGACCAAAACCCCGCCGTCTGCGCCTGGTCCTCGCTGCAGCCGGGGCGGTTGGTCGGGGATTAGAGGAGCGTCGTGCCCCATGGCTGCCCCATGGCTGCTGGCTCTGGGGCTCCTGGGCCGCATCCTTGAGCCCCGTGGTGGGAGACGTGCGTGGGTCGCTGTGGGGTGGGAGCTGGGCCTGCTGTGCCCCGCCGTGTCAAAAAGACGCACAAAAAAGGCATTTGGGGTGAAGTTCTGTTCATTGGCTCAGCGTCCCATCAGCCCAAAGCTGCAGCCCGAGCCGAGCGGCGTTTGGGGGGAGCTGGGGGGCAGGGAGGGGGGGTTCTGAGCCATTCGTCCCCACAATCCTCCTCCATTCCCCCAAGGGATCCCATGTGCCCGACCCCACGCTGTGGGGCAGAGGATGGGGAGAGCTATGGGGTGAAGTCTGCCTTCACCACTCTTGGGGCCACATTTGGTGACCCCTACCCACCCCATTCCATCCTGACCCTAACCCTAACCCCCATCCTAACCCCATCCAACCCCATTCATCCATCCCATCCCCATCCCATCCATTCCACCCCATCCATCCATCCCAACCCCATTCATCCATCCCAACCCCATCCCACCCCCATCCCATCCATCCCAAACCCATTCATCCATCCCATCCCCATCCCATCCATCCCAACCCCATCCCAACCCCATTTATCCATCCCAACCCCATCCCACCCCCATCCCATCCATCCCACCCCCATCCCAACCCCATCCCAACCCCATTTATCCATCCCAACCCCATCCCATCCATTCCATCCATTCCATCCCCATCCCAACCCCATTCATCCATCCCAACCCCATCCCACCCCCATCCCAACCCCATTCATCCATCCCAACCCCATCCCAACCCCATCCCACCCCCATCCCACCCCCATCCCAACCCCATTCATCCATCCCAACCCCATCCCACCCCCATCCCATCCATCCCATCCCCATCCCATCCATCCCAACCCCATTCATCCGTCCATTCCACCCCCATCCCAACCCCATTCATCCATCCCATCCATCCCATCCGCATCCCATCCATCCCAACCCAGCCCAGCTCCATTTGGTGACATTGGGGTGACAGGGGGCCCATCTGCATTTGCTGACATTGGGGTGATGGGGGGGATTTTGGGATTTTATGGCATTTTATTGAGCGTGGACGGAGGGGGGGCTGCGGAGAGGGTCTGTGTTTGGGGTGAAAACGGGGCTTTTCGGTCAATAGGGACCGTTTCCCGTGTAGCAGGCAGGCAGGAGCGCAGCGCAGATGTATTTCAGAGTCCTCCGAGGGTTTGGGGGATCTCAAAATCTCCCTAAAAATGGTCCTTCCCCCCCGCCTTGGGACGGGCTGCCCTCAACAAAGATGGACGCCAAGGCTTCACCCTCCCGAGACCATCTTGAGCCAGGGCGTCCGCACAGCGCGGGGTGGCAGCGGCGGTCTCGACCGGTCGCCCCGGCAGCTTCGTAGCGATACCGAGGGAGGCGAGGGGGGGTGAGGAGGCGGATTAGGGGCATCTTCTTTCCGCGAGCTAGTTGAAGCTCGAGACGCCATTTTGAAAGCGGGCGCAGGGCCGCCATTTTGGAAGCGGGCGCGGAGCCGCCATTTTGAAGGTGGGGCGGAGCCGCCATTTTGGAAGCGGGCACCGCCCCTCTGCGGCTCTGCTCAGCCGCAAATCCCGAATCCGCCGTTTTTCACCCCAAATTCTTCCCCCGCAAGTATTTCCTCCGCAGGGCAAACGTCGCAATCCCCAAAACCCCTTTAGGACCCCCACACAGCTCCCTACACAACCCCCCCCAACCTGGCTCTCAATGGAGGATTCTGCGCATGCGCGTTGCGCTCCCTGCGCACACCTCCCACATCCCACGCCTGCGCACACGAGCAACCGGCAAACCACGCATGCGCACTCCCCCCTCCCACTCTAGAGACAGCAGGCAGCGCCGCGCGCCACGCACGCGTGGCCCCGCCCCTTTCCGCACCGCGCACGCGCAGACGCCCGTTCCGCAGCGCGCACGCGTAGCCCCGCCCCTTCCGGCCGTCAGTCGGGGCGGCGGCGCGGAGCAGTGCGGATCTCCCCGCGGAGCTCCGAGCGGCGATGGAGGCCCCGCCCGCTCCCCCCGCCGTCCCGCCCGCTCCTTGCAGCGCCGCTCGGAGCCTTCAGGACGAGCTCACCTGCCCGGTGTGCTTGGAATACTTCACCGATCCGGTGCTGGTGGCGGAATGCGGCCATAATTTCTGCCGGGCCTGCGTGACGCAGTGCTGGGAGGACTCCGCGCGGCGGCTCTGCTGCCCGCAGTGCCGCGAACCGGTCCCGCAGCGCCTCTTCCGCCCCAACCGCTCCCTCGGGAACATCGTCCACATCGTCCGGCAGCTCGGTTTGCCCCCCGGCCCCGCCGATCCTCCTCCGGGCCCGCCCGCCCCCGCTCCTCCTCTCCCAGCGGCCGTTCCTCCGGTTCCGCCGGGTCCTCCCCGCTGTCCCCGGCACGGCGAACCGCTGCGGTTGTTTTGCGTTCAGGACCGGAGGGCGGTTTGCGTCGTGTGTCACCTCTCAAGGGAACACCGCGCCCACACCGTGCTGCCCGCCGAGGAGGCGGCCCACGCGGCGGAGGTGAGCCGGGGCTGCAGGGAAACCCCCCCGTCTTGGGGTCCGGGGGGAATAAAGGGGGAGTGGTGCAATAAGGGGACGCTGCAACACGTGGATGGGGAGTTAAGGACCCCCCCTCACCTCGGGATTTGAGGGTTTAAAGGGGAGTTTGGGGGAGCTAAAAAGGGGGGAGTGGTGCATTGGGGCGATGCTGGGAATGCATGGCTGGGATGTAGGGAGATCCCTCCTTGGGTTTTGAGGCAGCCCAAAATCCTCATCTCCCCCCGTTACGGGGTGGGGGCTCAGCTTTTGGCTCCACCCCTTAAGTAATTCCTACCAAACGCCTCCCGCTTCCAGGAGGTGCCTCAGGAGCACCTGAGCTCCCTGCGGAAAGGACGGGAAGAAGCAAAAGCCGAG